TGGGAACCACTGATATAGACCAAGATGACTGACTTGAATCTCAAGTGTGTGAAAAATTATGCAAGAAAGTAATTACAGATTTTTATTTCTTACATTGTTTTTTTTTTCTTCTTTTAAACAATATGAGGTTACACAGAGTTAAACAGGATATGTCTGTTTGTGACATATCCAAGATATTTTTTTAACATCACAAAACCTGGTGTTTTAAACAGAAATGTGTCCAGTTGTGTGGACAGACAGTCCAAAGCAACTGAACTGATAAAAACTGCAGTCAGAATCTGCTGATCATATAATTCAAGATAGTACAAAGATATCCAGTTGAAGAAGACCAGTTGATTGTATCAAGTTGTTGACTTTGGAGCAATCCCTCGTGCCAATAAAGCACATGGCAATAGTGGAGAGAAACCACTCCCTGTTATCATTAAGAAACCTGAACAATCCTGACATATCGTCGCCCTCTGAGGACTCAGCACCTGCACCGTCACTCACTCAGATTGCAGAATGGGCCGATCCAGCCTGCAGGACAGGAACAAACGCCGCTGATGTGATCGCAACTCCCACCGTTCTGACAGAAACACTTCTCCTGGCAGTCCAGACCGTAGAAACCCTGAGGACACGCTGAAATACAGACCTCTCTTACAAAACCACATCGCATTGTTAAAGTGAGCGAGTCTGGCTTCACGGGGTTTCTCTTACGCTTTTCGCAGAAGGAACCCGTCCATCCCACCTGACACGTGCAGGCGCCGCTCACATGGTCGCACTGCGCTTCATTTTCACACTGACAGACGCGACGACAACTCAGACCAAACAGACCTGCAGGGCACTCTGAGGGTAACGCAAACACAAGACAGGAGTAAAATGGACATTGTTCTTTTATTCTATGAACTACTGACTGTATCCGAAATGCCAAGCAAAAATGCACTGTTTATTTCCAGAAAATGAGAAACCGTCAAAATAACGCAAAAGATGCAGAGCTTTCAGACCTCAAATAATGCAAAGAAAACAAGTTCATATTGATTTAGAAACAACAACACTAATGTTTTAACTCAGTAAGAGTTCAGAAATCAATATTTGGTGGAAAAACCAGGAGGTTTTCAATGGGGTTCAGTGCAGTGGGCTCTTCATTTTTTCCCAGAGCTGTCTATCCCCCTTTCATTTTACAGTCACGTGTGGGTTTATGTGATAAACTTGTGTGTGTTTATCACATAAAAGTTCAATAGCATACACAAAAGTTTGAGGCTGCAATATGACAACATATGAAACAGGTAAAGAAGTTCAGGAAATACTGTTGGAAGTCAGCACATAGAAGCATACTCTGCTGGCAGCTCGGTCCAGTGAATCCTGCTTCACAGCTACACCGGCCCGTCACAGCGTCGCAGCTTCCGTCTCCATTTCTGCAGTCACATGTTTCTGCGCAGCCAGCGCCCCAGTGCCCTGCATCACAAACTGCAACAAAGAATGCATGAATCATCAGAAGAGTTTTTAAATGCCTACAGCTCGGCTCTTTGAGGCCTTTACCTTTTCTGCAGTCGTGTCCAGTCCATCCAGGAGCGCAGGTACACTGTCCACTCTCTGGGTCACAGCGAGCATTGTTCTCACACACACATTTCATCTGGCATCTCAGACCAAAACGTCCACTTGGGCAAGCTACATAGGAAAAAAATATATATTTATATATCAAGATCAAAATGACTTTTCTATAACCAACTCCAGATGACTGCCTGTGAAGCACCAAGTTCCCATAAAGGTGGCTTTAAGAGCCAGCTCGTGGTTGAAATCCACTCAGGAAAACCTCTGAGGCGGCTGGAGGATTTTTAGCTAATGACCTTAAAGAAAAATGATCCCATCTGTCTTCCAGCTCCTTCATTTCACATCCAAACAGCGCCACCTCACTATTCCACACCCCAGCCATCCTTCTCATCTAGTGGACTGCTTAATGCACGTTGCTATGGACACCTTCCCCAAAAGGCCTGCTGCTGTAACTCACAGGTTTGGCAGAGTGTTCCCATGTATCCAGGCGGGCAGCTGCAGGACCCGTTGTGTTTATCACAGGCACCCCCGTTCTCACAAGCGGGGCAGGTTTCCCTGCAGCCGGGACCCCAGAAACCCTCCGGACACACTGAGGAGGAAAAATGATCTTATTGTGGAAAACTGCGTCATTGTGTTGCATCCACACTTACACCCATGCATGCTCACTCACAGTTCTCACAGTGCTCTCCATGCATCCCAGTTTGACAGTGGCATTGTCCTGTCTCCTTGTCACATGGCGCACCGGTGCAGTTACACGGCTGGATGCAGCCAGGTCCAAACATCCCCTCTGGACACTCTGATACACAACACAACACACACAGGATGGACCTTTTTCCAATTCAGGATGAGAATTACACTTCTATGTCTTCGTCTCTACCTTGCTCACATTTCTCCCCATGACGCCCAGCGGGGCATTTTCGTTGGCACGCTCCAGTCACATGATCACAGGACGCTCCAGGTGGACAGGCACACTTCTGCTCACAGCCGAGTCCAAAAGTACCAGTTTCACAGCCTGGACACAAAACAGAGCACACACTTCACTCATCGCGTAAAACACAAAGTTGTCAGAGCTGAAAATTACCCTCCTCTTCTTCCCTTATTACACTGTGATCATTACACTTTGTTAGTATCAAATTCAGCGAACCGTCTTCATGTCTGGATGCCGAAATGCTGTGAGTTGAGTAGGTTTTGAAGGTATTCATTATCAAATCCATCAAGTTTACGGAAAGCATCAGCTTGTTCTTTTTTTAAACACCTGAGCAATTCAAATGCAGGACATGAACGTCTGGGCCAAATCCTGATTGATGGTGGCCCGTTCTGACAGCAGCTAGTGGGTCAATCACAGGTTTCTCACTAAGCTATGAACAGGTTTCTGGCCATGGGCTGAAAATCTCTGAGCTACTTCATTGTCAACTTTCTGCTCCATTTAAGAGGAGAAAGCTCCGTTCAACCACTAACCTGCTCCTGGATAGTTGGTCCAAGTTGTTCTTGGACAATGAATTGATCTCATCCGTTTTTTATGGCAAATTGTGAGCGGGCCTGGCAACGGGTAGAACTCACACATTGTCGTCCTGCCTGAGGCCAGGCAAGAGTCCAAAAGTCTCTCTTATTTAAATCGTCACTAGGAACATTTACTGGAGTTTCTTATGTGTTTCCAAGCCTCACTTTGAGTGAAATTTCATTAGCAGTGATATTGTTGCTTGTGAAGCACTTCTGATGGAAAGTGATGATGATAGCATGTTTTTTTTCGAGGTAATCACAGTTTGAAAAAAAAAAAAAAAGATTTTTATGCACATCTCCATTTGTTCAGTCACTAGAAAATCATTCTAGTCAAGCCTGGAATCAGTAAATACCACTCAGGCCAACTGTCCATTTATGTTAGTTTGTTTTTTCTTTTGTTTGTTTGTTTTAAAGTAAAAGGTAAAAAAGCTGTAATTACTAAACCCTTCCACTAATTTGTATGAGAATACCTTTAAATTAAAGCAGGGAGTCTGGACTCTATGCAATAATTATCTGTATGGTTGTAATTTGAATACGCTCCAAGAAACATAAACACCAAAGCCTTAGGCAGTGGTTGCATATATGGAGATCTATATGTTATTTAAGCCCTGAAACTAAAAACAGATGTATATAATCAGATGTTTATAAACATATTTCACAGCAAAAAATGGGGAGAAAAGATTGTGCGTAGACAACTGGTTAGTTTTGAAGAATTTTTCTTTTATCTGTGAAAGCATTAACTCTCTGTTTTGTTATTGTGACTTTATTGTTTGTTTTTCATAAAAATATATTTTAATGTAATGACATAAAAAAGGGACAGGCTCTCAAAAATTGACACAGTTAGCATGTTTCTCACTTTCATTGCAGGTGCTGCCGTGGTAACCAGGTTTGCAGATACAGGTGCCATGGTGGCGATGACAGTCCTTTGTCTTTTTCTGGTCACACTGACACTCCTGAGAGCAGCCAGCTCCAAAGGTCCACCTAGGACATGCTAGAAATTAAGATTTAGGAAAACATTTACATTTGAAATTAACAATTTTGTGTTACAAGGTATAGAAATATGACTTTTTACTCTGAAATAGAAATGCAAGGCTCAGGAAATGAACATTTCAAAGTGGGAGGTTAGTGTTTTAGGAGTCTTACGAAGGTGACAGAAGCGTCCATACAGTCCGGCTTCACACAGACAGGCTCCGTAGGTTCGGTGGCAGCGGCCGTTGTTAGCACAGTTGCACTTCTTGTTGCACTGCTTCCCATAGAAACCTTTAGGACAACCTGGAGACAGAAGACATGCCACATTATTAAATCACTGAAAAACCTTTTCACATCTTGCCCTCTTAAAAACTACACACTTCAGTGTGTTTTGTTAGAATTTTTTTATTGAGGGACCAACATAAACTGCAACATAACTGAAGTGGAAAACACATTTTTTATGTATTTATATTCAGTCCTTTACTCTGATGCTCCTAAATAAAATACAGTGCAAGAAATTAACTTAAAAAAATGAATCTAAATAATAAATAGTCCACTTGTGTGTAGTTTAATCTAGATCTCAAAGGATTCTTAGAAAACATTAGGGTCATGAAGACCAAGGAACACTGCAGAAAGGTCACGAAAGAAGACAGAGGTTCACTTTCCAGCAGGAAATCAACCCTAAACATAAAGTTTGTTGAACATTTCACCAGGGATACAATGAAATGGATCTGAAGCATATTCAGGCGATACAATGGCCTACTCAAAGCACAGAACTAAGTCTAATTACAAATCTGAGGCAATAATGTAGACTGACTTCTCACAGACACTCTCCATTCAGACTGACTGAGCTTGAATTATTTTACAAATAAGAGGTAAAAACTTCAGCCTCCAGATGTCCGGAGCTGGTAAACATCCGAAACGACTTCCAGCTGCGACTGCAGGGAGCAGCAATTCTACAAAACTCAAGAAAACTGAATTCAAATGCACAATGCAGTTTTCATGTCTAGAAAGAAACTATTAATCATATATCATTCCCCTATTTTGTGTTGGTCTAGCACATAAAATCTATTGAATTTGGTGGTTCTCGTGTCAACATGTTAAAAAGTGCAAGGTGTATGAATGCTTTTTCAAGGCACTGTATTTAAAATAGCTTTATGAATTATGTTTCGGCAATTTAATGTTTTATGGTAAGAACAAAACCATAAAAAAATAGAGGTTTCTCACCGTCCTGACACAAATCTCCAGTCACACCAGGAGGGCAGCGGCAGCTCCCGCTGACCGAATCGCAGCTGGCTCCGTTTTTACACTTGCAGGAAAACGAGCAGTTTTTTCCAAAATGCCCCACAGGACAGGCTGCGAGGTTGACATTTTTCAACAGTTTAGATTACTAACAGGAGGGAACATTTGCAATCACAGCGACATGCAGGTGATGAGTGTGTCTCTGGTCAGCCCTCACTCTGATTGCAGATGATTCCCGTCCATCCGTCTGGACAGTCGCAGCCGTTTTTCCAAATGTTGCATAGTCCCCCATTAGTGCAGTCATCACAGGTCAGGCTGCAGTCGCTGCCGAAGGTGTCGTCCAGGCACACTGAAAACAGAATAATTACCAACAGCTGCAACCATGACCAGTCAAGCAGAAACACTGTTTTATCTGCCTGTTTTGGACTTTTTCTAACACTGCTGCTCGAGCAAATGAGACAGTCCACGACTCCAAATCAAATAGACAAAGAATGCCACAGAAATTGTAACATTATGCTATGATATACACCAAAATCAGACAGTAAAGTGTGTGCCACTTGTTTCCAGTTTTGATTACATTGTTATCGAGAATGTTCATCAGATATGCACAGCTGAAAAAATATCTCTGGTTCCCTGGTTAAATCAGCTACTGTGCCAGATAAGCCGCAGCATTCCTGCCTGGTAGTTTCCTGGTCGTCTGGAAGCATGAACTGAGATAATTAACACTCCCCGTGTGGTCTTCCTCTGAAAGAGTCAGTCTAAACACTTCACAGAGGCCTGGTAATCAGATGCAGGTTTCATGTTAATGAAAATGAGTTAATAATGGCAGAGGGAGAAAACTCACCAAATTTCTCGGCCAGGCTGCTCTCGGCCCTGAGCTCCCCATCGTCATCTTCGTAGTCGTCGTAACGCTCCAGGGGTTGGTCGTAGTCGCGGAGCAAGGTGAGCTGGGGGTGAATGAGGGACAGCTCGATGGCGCCTCCGCTGGAGAGAGACTCAACTGCACCTTCGAGAGCTGCAATGGAGCAAGAGAAAAACTCACAAATGTGGCATGGATGGAGCATACTGCTTCATAACTCAAATCCTACTTATTTCGATATGAATAACTCGATTTAAATTCTTAAGCAGTTGTTTATATACACACTAATATATACACAGTTATATAACCAGTTTCTACAAATGTTTAGGAAGTAATCAGCATGCTTTTCACACCACCAAATTACACAAAACATCATTTCAGTAAGTGTACACTGAAATGTCACTGGGATTTAGATATTTTTAACATTTTATCAAGAAAAAAAAAGAGAACATTTTAAAAGGTAAAATGAGGCCACATAAGATTCCTAACAGGTTAAAGTGAATCAAAGCGTCTTCAACTCTGAAAACTTCTCTGCCATTCATTAGTAAAATTGCAATATTAGACCTTGTAAAAACAAAAAAATGCACAAAACTTGTATTTGCAATTTCTAATAGTCTTGTAGCTATGGTGATTAAAACATACAGTTAAAACTAAAATTATTTATGCCTCTTTGAAAGTCTGTTTTTAATAGGAACAAAAATGGCATAAATGTGAAATTCTTAATTTTGACAACAGCATTTATTGGGTGACTGAGTAGCAGACTTGAAATCTGAAAGTTATGAATTCAATTCCAGATTCTTCCTGTCATAAGTAGACATGCTCCACGAGCAAGGCACTAAAATCTTAAATCAAGGCATCAAGATTCACCTCAGTTAGATGAGTAAAGATTTTGACAGCCGACATGTTTTTAAAGAATCAGGATTTTACAGTGACTCAGCTAAAGCACTTTTACCCTTTGAACCTTTTTAGATTTTGTCATAATTTAGAGCAAGACATGAATTTATCGCTCACAGGTGATCTCCGTCCAGCTGGAATAAGCTAGAGCTTTTCCGATAAGAAAAAAAAGGGTCTAACAGGTTTAAATACTCTGGACAAACTCCAAAAAAATTGGCATCCTGGGTTTAGAAAGTATTGGACAACGTGTTCTTATTACAAGTGCACTCCAAATGTTTATGTGCCAAAATTTCACAGTGGTTTGAAAGTCGACACAAAGTAAAAATGTGGTCTTAATAGATTGTTTTGCAATTGAAACTATAAAGAAAAAGGTGGTGAATTAAACATGAGGAGAAAAGTAGTGCTCACAACTCAAATGCCAAAAAGAGACGTGAAAAAAATTTAATGGGTTATGAATACCTACAGAAGATGGAAATAACCAGCAGTCCAAACATACATAAAGGTTTTAATGTGGGGGGAAAAAAAAGCTGACAACGTCCTCTAGCCAAAACAGATTCTTTTTTTGCCCACATTAAAACCTTTAAATATTTGGTAACACTTTATTTGAAGGGGGTTGAATAAGACTGTCATGACACTGTCATAAACATGACATAACATGTCATGAACATGAATAAGCCTTCATGAATATTTATGACTGTTGTCATAAAGCGTCATTCGGTAAATGATGACACTTTTAATACGAAGTTAACATTATTCAAAATGTCTTTGTTATGACAACTTGACATTAACCAGGAAATAATTACTGTTTACACTTTACCTTTAATAACATAAAGTTACCTCATTTTTAAAGTGCAATCAGTAATACTTTTATAACAAATTTACATCAGTAATGATTTCCTGGTTAATGTCAAGTTGTCATAACAAAGACATTTTGAATAATGTCAACTTTGTATTAAAAGTGTCATAATTTACCGAATGACGCTTTATGACAACAGTCATACACATTCATGAAGGCTTATTGATGTTCATGACAGGTGTTATGTCATGTTTATGAAAGTGTCATGACAGTCTTATTCACCCCCCTTCAAATAAAGTGTTGCCAAATATTTTTAGAGTGCTAGGTATTTCCATGTTTGCTGAATGTGGCAAAGACCAGGTTGCAAATGCAACATGATGCAATAATCTGTATGCTAATTTGTGGATAATTATTATTTTTTAAATGTATTACACAGAAAAAACTTATGACTGAAGGGAAACTACTTTGTGTTTTTTTGAAGATGAACTTAGTTAAGAACAGGTGGTGAACTGAACAAAACTTAATTCACTTTTAGCCTGTAGGAAGTGAATTTGGAACTACTTATCGCTAAGAATGAAATGAAACGACATGGCTGAAACTCACGGATGCAGGAGCGCCTGTCCTCGTCCAGCTGGAAACCCCGGCGACAGAAGCACTGGAAGGAGCCGGCGATATTCTGGCATGTGTGATCACAGCCGCCATTAGCAGCCAGACACTCGTCCACATCTGAACAACACAGACACAGCAAAAGGTCAACAGCTTTTGCTACATCTCAAGGTAAAGTTAGAACAACAACGAAATAACAAACCCGCAGAATCTGAAATAAATTAGCAGAGTCAGCCATGTTTTACCTGGGGGCAAAACATACCGTCACAGCTACATCCATCTGCATTGAGTCTGTGTCCTGCTGAGCAGTAGCATTCATAACCCCCGGGGTAGTTGGTGCAGTCCTGCTCACAACAGGAGCTCTGTTCTCCACACTCATCAACATCTGACAAACACAACAAGCAGGAAAACACACACACACAAAAAATATGCTTTACTGCTTTCTGATAGAAATCTTTAATGAGAAAATATAAAGTGTGCTGATTTAGCAACCAATTGCAGCCAAGTTACAACTAAAATATATATATTTAGAGCTAAACCTCTGCTCTTTATTCTTTGGTTATGATAAACGCTCACCAAACTTCAATAATGTTCCACCTCCTAAACACAAATACAATTTACCATTACCCTACAAATTCTTAAAGTGCGTGAAGATTTTATGAGCACATTAAAACAAATATGTAATGCGGTTAATGGCATTTTCTCCCCTCTGTTTTTATGTGTATTTGGCAAAGTTGTAGCGTCGACTGAGCTAATAATGCTGCTACAGTAATCAAATGTGATAACTTTGTGTAAAGTCTTGTGAATCTAATTTTATGAGCATACATGAAAGTTCAACAGAGTTCAGTTCTTGTTGGAAATTATTTATACTGATGGCTCTTGGACTTTATGAACATTTTGGAAGATAGAACTCCACATTACACGATTTACTAATAATAAATGCGTTATAACTTTTCAGTACTGTTGCAGACAGCTAGTTTGATCAGGGAGCCTTTATAACTCCAATTTATGTTTGCAGATGTAAAAATGACACAAAACAGATGTAAATTCGTTAAACATTGTGCAGACAGGTAAAAGTGAAGTGAATTTGGGTTAGATTTGTCAGTGAAGATAAAAAAAAAAAACTAAAATATGGCAAAAATATTCATGTTCCTTTTCACATTTTGTCTTGCCATATATCTGGAACTTATGTGACAGACCAACATAATGTGGTGCATAGTTGTGGAGTGGCAGAACAAAGATACAAAGGGTGTTGAGCGTTTGTAAAGACTTTGTAAAGCAACATTTTGCTGAAATTAAAGTTTTCTTGGAGTAAGCCGGCACTAGCTTTGCACTTCTTGGAGCCTGAAATTTTATCCAATTCTTTGCGGAGTGGCTGCAAGTATTTGGAAAACAGAAATAGAAAACATTCCGGTACCGACATCATATAAGCAACAAAGTACTACAGTCTATGTATGCTGATGCTGATCATGCAATCGGCTAACGTATACTCAGGTCCTTCACATCAGTTTGAGCGCATTGCAGTCTCATACCAACACAGGTTTTCAGGTCATCGTTGAGCCGGTAACCATGGTTACAGGTGCACACGGGCCCGCTGGTCGAATGCTGGCAGCGATGAGAACATCCACCGTTGTTGCTCTCACAGCTGTTCACAATCTCCATCTCAATTCCTAACATTCACAGTGAGGTCAGAAGGTCCGTCAGGAGGAATGGGGCTCAATCAGACGAGTTCAGAGTTTAACATGCGCGATGATATTCAGACTGACTGTAACACTGCTTCCCATCAGATCCCAGCTCATAGGCGGTGTTGCAAACGCAAGCGTAGGAGCCCAGCGTGTTGCGGCAGCCATGTGCACAGTTGGTTTCCTCTGTTTTACACTCGTCGATATCTGAGGAAGGACGTGTTTAAGCATTGTGAACTGTGGGACGGATTGCACATGGTCTGCACAAGCTCAGTGACATTTTGAATGTGCCGCTTGTGAATCAAATGCTTTTTATAGGCCTAAAAACAATATAACCTTCACAGCTTCAGCAGATCCTAACCACACACACAGCTGCAGGATCAGATGTCTTATTTTCATTTATAGTTTATAGTTTTTACGTTTATGACTATACTTTCTATGTCTTACTTTTGCAAAATGTTCCAAATACATTTTATTTCTTAAAACAATCTTCAAACAGAGTTGATCCAGCAGCTATTTGAAACTTTGGCTCAGAGAGTGAAAGCCTTAAATATCCATAAAATGACTTCAGATGGAATTTTAAAGTACTTTTACTTCACCTAACATTGAACTTCCACTCCACGCATTACTAAGAAAATGAATTTGAAACTATACCTTCACAGGTTTTCCCATCTTCAGCCAGTAGGTAGCCACGTTTGCAATCACAGAAAGGCTTTCCTCCATCAACTCGACACTCATGCATGCAGCCTCCATTCTGATCTGCACAAGGATTCTGCACTGGAGAGCAAAAAGCATGCCTTCCTCACCATCACAGTCTCCATTATTTTACAGCAGAAATCTATGAAACTTGTTTTTTCTAAATGTTAATGCCCGACATGTGCATAGCTTTGAATTGAGTTCTTCTTCATTGGGCTCCCTCTGCAGAAATTAACTTGTGGCAGCCCGTCTTGCTAGCATGATCAGAGCATTCACCTCTGAATAATTAAAGGAAGCCAACAATCACAAAGAAAAGACATCTAAAAGCTCGTCATTTAGCAGATGGAAATTCATGTATAATTTCCTACATTTGGAAGACCATACTTGACTGTGAAGCCTTTGAGACTGAGGTGATTAAAACAAGCATTGGATATGAAAACAATTATTATGAAGAAAAAAAAAAACAAACAATAAATGTAACTCAGTAAGACACAGAATGGTATTCAATCTTAGTCTTCCTGAGATAAAATTACAGCTACCAGCAGAATGAGTCAAGGTGTTTTTAACATTATGTTTAGAAGCTCACCTTTCATTAGTTGGGAACAGTCCAATTCTTTTCTTTTTTGTTTTGTGTGTTTAGGTGGTGCATGTTTTATATATGTTCAGCATGGTCACTTACGTTTACAGTGCTTGCCATCCTCTGCCAACACGTAATTTGGCTTGCAGCGGCAGCGAAAATGTGAAGCCGACTGCTGCAGACAGTAGTGCTCGCATCCTCCGTTGCGGACAGCGCATGAGTACACGGCTGAAAATGTGAAAATAGAAGATTAGGCAACTTGCAGGAATAAATCTGAAGTGAAATCTCTAACTTCTGGACCCTTTCAAACTAAAAGCTCATCACAATAAAAAGTTAAAACTCAGAGACACCTGAGCGATTGGCATCCACAGTGGATGGCTTACTCATCCACTAATTAATGAGGTTCGGTTCAATTTGATCCCACTTCTTCCCAACCTACATTTGTCCTCTTTGAAGTAACAGATGGGTCTGAATCATTTAGTGGAAAATAACTAGTAGAAGAACTCAAAGGCTGTGTTATTCGTACCGAGAGACTGGAGTCAAGACCAATCCATCCTGAGTGCATGTCAAACCGCACAGCGTTTTCCAGATTAAATATTATGCAGCTACAAGCTAAGTGTGTGGGAAACATCTGAAGTTCACCGGGCAGATGAGTGAGTCGATGTGCTTTTGTGCTTTCATGAACTCAAACTATCTGGAATGAACAGCGGAATAAAAAACCTAGTTTATTAGTATAAACACAAATGAGCTGCATCTACAATCATTCCATCAGGACTCTGTTGTAAAGGTTGTAATATTTTATTTCTTCACTCAACATCCGTCAGAGAAGAGCCTTTCATGAATGGTTGGGTTCTTGCTAACATATCTGTGTAGTAAGATAAATGACTTCACAGAGAATGATTTCAAATCTAAATGTCAAACAGGAAGGACACTGAAGCCAGCACCAGGTTTATAAAACTCTGTATACAACTCTGAACTTCCTTCATTTCTGTATACTTCCCTTCCAATGATTAAATGAACATCTAGGTTTTTGCTCCAAAGTGGTCACCTGCAGCATTGAGAGTTAAATGCCCATGGCAAACTTAAATAAAATGACCAACAAATGCATTTGAACCAACACTGAAATCTCTCCAAGAGTTAATTCTGTAAAAAAAGCTGTTTTATTGTTATTTTTTTTTCCATTACATATTTTTAATTAGCACCATCAGTAATTTTATCAATGTGTTGCACCAGAATGGTTCAAAATGCACCCATATGTCCATTAATCCCACGTCAACAGCAGTGAATGTTTCCAAATCTACTCACTGAGGCAGGTGCGACTGTCCACATGGAGCCTGGAGCCAGGGTGGCATTCGCAATAGTACGAGCCTCTGGTGTTAATACATCTGTGCTGGCAGCCTCCGTTATGGACCTGGCATTCATCTATATCTGAACAGAAGATCCAGACAGGAAGAACGGACATGAACAATTTCAGTAAAACTCCTCATTACGAGAAAAGAAATCCCAAATGAACTGCTAAAGTGTGAGAGGGTCTTAATAAGCCAGGCTTTAGGACAAAGATGCACCTCCAGCTGAGAGGAGAGGATGGATGAGAATGGAGGGGGGAAGTATTTTACGAGCTTACTGCAGCTCAAACATTTACCTCCATGTGGAAACAACTACTGAACATTTATAAGCACATTTAAATTCCTGCAGCTCTTCAGAACCCCCCCGAGTGAAGAAGCATATGGAAACTTGAGCCAGAAGATTCAAAACCAAAACATTCCTCTCAGCCGACTGCTCTGGGAATAAACAAACAGAAGAGGCGGACTCTCCATCTGAGAATATTGTGGTGTGGAAAATAGAACAGCCTTCGCATGTGAACTGATTTCTAATCAAACAAACCATGTATCTGGGCGGCATTGGTTACAGGGGTCAAAGATTGATCAATTTCATGAGCAGACCCCCCCCCTGTGATGATATATGAAGCCCGTCTCCATTTGAGTTTCTAGCAGCCGAGATCGGAATGATTAGGACATTAGTCACCTATTCTTTCCAACACTGACTAAACTATTGGAGTAGATATAATGAAAATATTTCAGACTGCAACAAGTGACTCATATAAAAATAAAAAAGGAAGGGAAACTGTTTGGCTGTGGCTGAGGTCTGTAAGACAAGCTAACACATCATAAAACACTATTTAGGAGCCCGAGTGTGAGGTGTTTTGTTCAGAATAATGTTGACCTCAGCCAGGTTTTTTCATCAGGAAACTATTTCAAGAATTCACTGAGATCTGTGCAAAAAGAGATCTGATCTGAAAGTTTGAAGAGCAGGACGACTGCTGTCCCTGCAGCAGAAAGTTTGCTTCACCACAAGCCGCACGTTTTTAATTCCATGCTGTCAAAATGACAGCAAACAGTGAAGATAAAACAAACTGTACATTTATGACATTTATCCAACCAGACAAAATACACAATCAGACTCCCCAGGGACACATTTCACACACAAACACATGACATCATTTGATGAAATGAGGTTCTGCAGAGAGAATCTTAATTTCAGAAGACTGTTCCCAGAAAACATTACCAAAGAAATTAGTAATAAATTACCTTTAACAGACAGCGACATGCAGTCAGTACTTTTCATCATCTTTTGGACCTGCTATGTCACAAACACTCACTGAAGCAGGCATTCAGTGACTTAAAAATCCAATGTACATGTTTTATTAAACCTTTACTACAAATTATGGGATCTACAGTCTAACATATTTAATAATTTTTAAAATGTTTTGCAGGATTGGTAGGGAATAGTGGTGAGTCCCTTGGACAACAGGCGCTTTTCTTCTCTTCTTCACTGAAAAGACTGAAAATATAAAATAAGGATAGGATGATACAGGATGGCTTCCCCTTTGGCGATTATCTCTACTAAAGCAGACTTTCAAAACTGAAGTCAAAAGGGTGATTTTTACAACGCAGCGACAGAGGTGCTATAGATATAGGTAGATGTAAGGTCAAAATGTAAATATAAAGGTTCTTTTATGGGTTTTGTTTATTTTTACATTCAACTCCAGAGGAGATTTTGCAAAGCAGAATGCACTAGGTGTGATCTGATAGAGAAAATCTGATAAAAAAGGGAATGTGAGGGGGAAACCACCTTTAATATGGCCAAACATATACCAGAAACACAAAAGATATGGAAATAAAGATCAGTTGTTGACATGATCCAGTTTCACTTATCAGAACGTTACTGTAAAAAATAAAAATAAAAAAACTAACATTGACCAATCCTGATGTTATTACCGATAAATCATGCATCCCTAACAAATGTGCATTAATGTCGATCAATACACTTGTGGGTTCAGGCAATTAGCACCAAGGAAAATAAATGGCGCTCCTGGATTGGCTACTGGCTGGAGATTTGAAAACAGCCGTCAGTGGCCCATTCTGTATCTTCTTTTATGCTCTACGAGAAAAATCTGCAAATAGGTATGTTTTTTTTTTTTTTTTTGGAGTTAAATTCCACAGAAAAATCCCAAAATGGGTGATGCCATGAAAACTGAACCATAATTAGGCAGACATCCACTGTATTTATGCATCCAGGTTTAAGTGATATTTCTGCCCTGTATCAAAACCTTCTGGAGCCTCCCCTGCAGAGGCTGTCTGGACTCACCACTAAGGTTTTTTTCTTCACTCTTTAGCACAATGCAAATTCTTGCACTGGGTGAAAATATGGAATATGGGGGTGAAAGTAATAATTTTTGCAGCCCTTTGGGAAGTCATAAATGTAGGAGACCATTTGTAACACACAGAGAAAAAAAACTTGCCATGTAAAGAACTTCATGATCTGCTGGATGAACGCAGCGATGCATCTGGACAATCTGCATCCTATTTGTGTCACTTTGCACCAGAGTTATTTGCACATAAATCATGTCTTTACAAGGTCCACCGTTTATCAACCTTATCAAAATATCTGCAGGGAATTTTGTAAAGGTTCTGCTTTTGTTATTAGATCAAGAATAACAAAAATAGTAAGAGTACAATCCTTACTATTTCTCCATTTACTTGCATAGCAGCTCCTGTAAAACCTCTGGCTAAACCCGTTTCCCAGTAATGTCCAACAGTATCTTCAAATATAGCATTTGGAGCAGAAGCAAGCTCCTAAACTTTCTTCCTCTTGGGGTCTCTGCTGCCAAGTCCGAGTTTCACTTCATCCAGGAAAGCTGGCACGAGCCATCCATGCATTTTTCCATCAATGGAGCGTGCAGTCTTTTGGTTTTTCCTGTAATGAGAGCTTAGTTGCTGTCGGCTGCAGTCTCACAGTCAGTCAGCAGATCCCCTCCAGCCTCCAGCCCAAGTTTCCACATCCAGAACACGATCCTCAGCGGACCGAAGCCAAAGCCTCAGCAGCCGCTGGCTTTAATGCCGGCTGCATGAACGCTCTGAACACGGCACAATGTCGTCTCACAGGAGAGATATTTCACATTAGTTTAGGAAAGCCGACGTGTTTATTGTGCACAGCCGCTATTTCTGCAATGTCTTGACTTAACTCCAAACATGACATATAAGAAAAGGATTTATCAGCAAACCGGTAACAATAAAAATAAAAGAAGGCTTTACAGTGCAGTTATCCTCAAACTATTGTGCCAAATCCAGACGAGTCAAACAGGATAACGGTCTACAACATGCACAGGGTAGTCTCCTCCATTTTTTTGCTTTTTAAAGCATCTGTAATAACATATAGCTGATGTCTGCAGGTGCACTAATCTCTGATCAGAGAAAAATAACCCCAAAGCTAAAAAAAAAAAAAAACAACAACAACACTAACTTTACATTGCTATACCTACTTTTTGTATTAAGAACCACTTACCTGCAGCAGGCAAGTAGCCAGTGTTGTAGCCATGATAGCCGTGGTAACAATGAGGCCTGTGACAGATTCTTCTGTAGTAAACATACGGGTAGTTTGCAGCCAGAGATGCCGTTGCTTCAATGAGCACCAGGGAGAAAATCCACCATCCTGATGCCAAAGCCATAACTGGAGTCAACCTTGTTACAAAGCCTTCAGAAGAGAAACTTAACCATCCAGCACCTACTTTTTAGTTACTCAATGAAGAGTCCTGGACTGACATCCCATGCTTGACTACCTCTTATTTTGCTCTGCCTCCATCTCCTTCTCTGTTTCACCCTCCCATCTGACAAAGCAGAATCCACCATGTTGTAGGTCCTCCTCTCTCTTTCTCTCCGGTCCTCACATGCCCCTTTCGCTCCAAATGTCCTCTCTGCATTGTTCTGCTCGAACCCTCAATAAATTATCTTTCTATTCTACCATCTTGCAGTGATTGATTTGTTCTCTTGCTGATTTATAACATTTCATTAAAGACCTCTGTATTTTACCTTTTCTTCAAAGAACCCCGTGTAATTCAAAGACAGGATTTATTGGGGCAAATAGCAATAGAGCAAAGAATGTGAGCAGACTAAAGGATGTGCTGTCATCCAGTCCTTTGAAATGGACGTAGATTTAAAAAAAAAAAAAAATGCCACTAAAGTAATGCCAAATTTGATAAGTGCCAAAAGTCAAATTCAATGCTTTTAATCCAAACATCTGAGAAAGGAATGAGCCTTGCAAGAAAAAAAATGTGTTCTCAGGAGCTTAGCACCAGACCTTTTCATCTTTTGCCAGCACATACATTCCACTTCAGCACTTAATACTACCTATAAAAGCGTAAAAAGCATTCTTATTGTCCGCATCACTTTCACAGTCTTAAGAGAAATGACTTTTAGATAAATGTCCAGCAGAAACCTCGGCAGTATACAATGACTTTATGCATTTTCAGTAACACAAATTTAAAACCTCTTCTCAGAAATATTTTAGAGTTTCTGGTGATTCCACTGAGTTTCAAATCCAATGTCCGACTAAGGACCAATTCTCATTCATGCAACTTATGCAACACATAATAATGGATCCATCCTGCTTAGATCAACGGTTCAGGCTGGTGATGTCATGATGCAGGAGACATTTTCCTGCCCCTCTTTTAGGCTCTTTACGACCATGTGAGCATCTTCACAAAAGTCCAAATCATCTCCAGCTGTTCTGAACATGACAACGAATTCATTGTATTGCAATGACCTCCAAAGTCACAAGACCTCAACCCAAAGGAGCATTTTTGGAATGTGGTGGAACAGGAGATTTGGATCGCGGTAGTTCAGACAACAACTAAACGATGCTGCCATGTAAATACGGAACAAAAAGTTGAAGGGATATTTCACCTTAAATCCCTGCTGAGGAAAACTGAGGAGTTTCTGAAGGCAAATGTCAACCTAATAATTGCCTTTGCCAGCTTCTTCTGGTATTACACCTCTTGTTTTCTTTCCTCACATAGACAAAAACAAGCATCTTAATTTGGCAAAATTCCAACATGTAAACTGAAGACACATTTGTGCCGTTATTTTAGCAGTACCTTTACGACGGTGGAAGATAATTTGCGAGAATGCATTAAGCTGCCGCTTCATTCCTCTGCTCGTCTCTAAAGGAACCTACAAAATCCGAGCTGGTGTCACCGCCTGCCTGAAGCAGGCTCTGCACTGTGACAACAGAACAGGGGAGCAGAAACAGCTCAGCTTCATCTATTTTCATCGATACAATATTATATTGTCTATACTGTTAAGTTTAACAGGTGTTTACAAACATAGATATGTCTGTGACAAAATGAGATGTCCTGTGTGCACCAGGATACACACACACACACACACATACACTGGTCACCAAATTCTTGCTTTTGATGGGAAATATTGCAAATATTTCTGCATATATCAACAAAAGTTTGGTCCTAAGGCCTCAATTTACAGGGAGAGCTGCGTTCAGTTTAAGTTCATAATTTTCAAAGCATTGTTTTGTTCACATGTCCAAAACGTGAACGCTCATGAACACCACTGGCTGGTGCAAAACAGTCACCTAAGCTCAACAACGAATTCGTCTGCCAACAAAGAGGACAACCCTCAAAGTAAATGCAGTGACCTCAGAAATGAAAGGAGCAACCATGTTGGTTTTCGTTGCTCATTATTTTGACACCTGCCAGAGGTTGGCAGAGCTTCAGGCTTGTAAAATGCCTCGGTTGTAAACTCTGTTTGACATGACAGCATGATGTAGATGCTGCTACTCCACCGGCAGCGTAACAGCTGTTACTGCCGGGCTCTTCTATTTTGATTGGCATCCTCCGAGTCCCAGAAAATCACTCCTAAAAAGGAACGTGCCTGAGGGCTTCAGATGAGGATCAAACTGTAAAAAAATCAAGCATGTATTTATTTATTTTTTATTACAGGGAACAAAATTTCTCCACTGATCAAATGCTTCTGTCTGCCAATATCATAAGACTCCACACTGAAGTCTGAGTGGCCTTGTTTTGTGTCTCCTCCATAGAGCAAATCATTTGGTCTAAAACTCTCCATGTAAGTGGAAAGGGAATCATTTTCTGCAGACGCAGCAACAAACACATAGCCTTAAACCTAAACATGTACAACATCCAAGGCTTCCAGCCAGCGTTTTGCTACCACTGTTAATATTTCTACCAATTACAGACAATTAGGACATCAATGCTGCGGGTAGCTGTTTGCAGCAGTGGTATAGGGCAGATGGCTATGAAAGCCAGCTGTGACAACGTTCACATCAGCTCTCTAAATAACCGTGTCCTGGATCAAATCTCTCTGTGGGTTCCCCCGGCAGACAGCCTTACCCTCCTCTGAGTTTGGCTGCTGCACAGAGAAACCTTTATTCTGCATAAATGTAGCACACTGAGGTTCTCCAGAAACATCAGCTAAGACGTAGAAATAAGTACACCTCTGGAAAGAATGGTAGTTGTGAGCTGATGTTCTAGTTATTGTTCTATATTTTTGCTTTACTCTGATCAAAAAGTCAAAATGTTAAGTTTTTTTTTTTTTTTTTAGCAACAGAAGTCACATTTCTTTTCTTGGTATTTTTACTCAAAGTGATCATATTGCAAGGATCTTAAACCAGTCCATATTGAACAAGTATCAAATATAATTATAAAACATTTAAAAAAACCACCTTTATGCACAAACAATGTAAAAATGCATCCAATATCATCCTAGAGGCCAAGAAGATGAACAGCTTAGTTAAATGTCATATAAGTCAGGTGACATGTTACCTTTTACCAGCATTTCAGGATATCTGGTTAGAAAATGGCAACTATAGACAATAACTAAAGTATAACTATTTTTCTAAGAAAACAATTTTTTTGTGTGTGTCTGAGCACATTAAAAGTAAAATGTATAAAATGTTGGAGTGACACAAATGAAAACACAACAAACCTTCACATGTTTTGCCATCTTCGTTCAGCTTCTGTCCAGAGGGACACCTGCAGTAAAAGCTTCCTATGGTGTTACAGCAAAGAGCCTCGCAGCCTCCGTTGGTTTCCTCACATTCATTCACGTCTGCAGAGAAGAAAAACAAGGCAAAATGAATCCAACAACTGTCCATGCACACAAACCTAACTTACAATTAGCACATCCATCCCTTCGATTTTTCACAGTTTGATCAGTTACAGGGATAAACTTTAATGTGTTTCATTGAGATCCTGTGCGATACACTCAAACCAGCTTCCAGGTTGTGAGTTTGATTCTCCTGTGTGTCAAAGTAACACCTCAAAGCCCTTTATACACAGTGATTTGTAATTGCTGTGTCTGTGTGTGTTGTGTCTGTAGTGAAGTCATTCAGACCAGTAAAGTGCTGCATAACTGTAGTTAGTTAACCAATGTCCCTTTAAATGTTTAAAAGATGCACTGTAGATTTAAACGCCATGTTTCCAGAAGACTCTGTGCTCCTTCTCAAAGTATTTCCATACAACCAGCTTCCAGGAAAAATGAACAGGACACATGTGCAATTATTATAAAGTAAAAATATGTACAGTTAGGATTAAAGGATGACAAAAGATATGTGTGGCAACGAGACTCTTCCCACCTTCTTCTATCTTGATTTAAAATAAAAAGTTTGAAAAAAAGCTATGCCCTATTTCATTTCCCACGGCTGAACATGCCTTCCAACCTTTAATCAACCAAACCAGATAAAGTCCTTCTTTCCAAATCCCAAGCAACACATAATAGCCTCTATTAAATACATGTGCTGACTGAATAGCAGACCATAATTGGAGCTACAGAGATTCTGCTGAATAGGGAGATACGGAAATTGAGCATAAAACTTGTAATTATCTAATAGATTGTTAAACCAGACTCACATTTCCCTGAATTGACATTTTATTTTGTACCTCTGGGTTTTCAGCAGAAGGGATTATGCTTTGTAGTTGGTCACATTAGGATTTTTTTTTTTTCGTAAATTGTTGCTCTCGTGATTTTAAAGATTGAATCCTGTCCTGACATTTGAAAAACGAATTAAAAGAAATAAGAACATTTAAGTGGCACAAATTGACTTTCAAGCTCTTCTTTGTGATCATAAAGGCCAATCAAAGCACAGAGAGAGAATTAAGGTGCAAAGAAAGTTCCTCCCCACAAGAAATGACCTACCTTTACTAAATAACACTATATGGTTTACTTTCCCTTTCATTTTAGGGCATCTGGAAACCACACCGAAAAAGTAGCACTGTTTCTGTTACGAATCCCAAGAGACACACTGTGTCTCTCGGATAAGACCACCTTCAAAACGTATTATACAATAAACCAAACAATGAATGATTAGGACAACTAGATGGGAGCGTGATTTTATTCCTTTGCAGATAAGACACAAGAGAGAGATGTGCCTGATGGGGGCATAAGAGTTGATGTAATAGATGTTACACACAAACAACCAGAAGAAAGCAGGAATGAAACAGATGTGACTCTCAATGTGACCCAAAGTCTGTGACTGGACCGTGAGAGTTTAAGGTTCTGGGTTGAACATGTCGTTTCGTCTTTTCGGTCCCCCTGGAGGTCTCACGCCTGTGTGGCAGCTGAAGCCCAGGTCGCCCCAGGGTCACGGTTCCCAGCCTCTTTCTGCCCAATAAGCAAGCAGGAATGTCAGAGTGTCATGGGTCGAGAAGAGAGGACACAGGAGAATCTGTACAATAAGAATAAAATGAAATTGCCATCTCTATTGATTATGTTTTGAGCTGTTTTTATTTTTAAACCGATTATTTTTCCTCCTGTTATTTATTTATTCATGTCCTTTGTGTGTAGGATGTTTGTCTTGGGTAAACATAAAATATTTAAACAAAAACCACTTGAACACACGCATACACACATACATATATATATAGTTATTTTTTAAGATAAACTTTACCCATAACCCATTCTTTTTGATTACATTTTAAATGTACTTAATTTCTCTGAGACATGAATATCTGTCCAGTTTTTCTTTTCAGTCCCACATATATCACGCTAACCTGTCCATCAGTATCACCTGGACAGCCTTTAACCAGAGACACAAGGTGTAAGAACATTACTTTGAGTAAGAGAAGATCTGCTTCTCTTATGAGTTTCTTCTCATTGACCCCAGACCTTGAAGGCACACCCTCCAGAGGGGTCAGATGCCTGGGGCTACATGGTCTGCATGCAATCCAGATTTATGCTCCAAGTCACAGTCAAAGGCCAAAGGTCAAGATTAAACCACAGAATGAGTCACAGAAAACCATGATGCAGATCTTTGGAAACACAGCAGGTGAACAATGCCTGTCTGGAGTCTTTTGTTTTCTCCAATTCAATGATTGTTTGGTTTTGGATTTAAGTAAATTTAACTTTTTTTAAATTCTATGAAGTACAAATAACTCAAAACCTTAATGTCATTAAGTATCTAGTTGCAAAAAAAAAGGCACAAATTGAAAAGAACAAAAATGTGTTTTCTCAGTGGAAATAATCCCTCAAAAATTAGATTTCATATTGACTTTAATGTTACACAGTCCTAACATTTTAAATTGTCTTTGACAAAATAACCATATTTCCTTTTAACCTTTCCAGATTTTCCCACATAACCACCAACGTTTCATTGGGATTCAGTGGGATTTTATGAGATAAAACATTTTAGTGCATATCTGTCAAGCAATTTCAGTTACATAATAAAGTCCATCTGTATCTAATTTAATCTATTTAATCTTAACTATTCTGTGAACCCTCGGAGGTTTGTTAAGGATCATAATTCAACAAACAGAGTCAAGAACACACGGAACATTTTGGACCAACATACAAAACCTTGTGTGTAACAGAAAACCAAAAGCCCCACATCAATCACTCCTTACTCAATGAAAACATGGATGTGGCAGGAGGTGGAAATCAGAGTAAATCGGAGGACAGATGGAGCTAAAATACAGAGAATGAATGAAACATGTCAGTGTCTTCAAAAGAGGTTTATCTTTCATTCATCCAATCCTTTCTTCTTCACGAGTATCCATTTCGTTTTGCTGGACCATCACTCTAAAGATCAATAAAACACATTGAAGTTTGTAGATGTAACATGACATGATGTGAAAAATGTAAAGAACACAATGCTTTGCTATGACAGAAGCACTATGCTGCAGGGCAAGACAGAAAAATTTAGTTGTTTATGTTTTTCCAGATGGAGATTTCCTGATTTGGTGAACATAGACTCAGTGGTGGGAAGTAACGAAGTACAACGTTACTGTACTTAAGTACAGTTTTTGAGTACTTTCTCCACCTCTGCATAGACTTAACCATATTTTGTGATCCAGGATAATTTTATGCAGTTCCAAAGACAGTCAAAATAACTACTTTACATAATGTAAACTCATTTTATTTAGTGAGATTTATTTATATTTTGAAAATGTAGGAAGAAAAGTCCATCAGAGGCGAACATGTTTTTATAGGGAAATGTTATTTAATATCATAAATATTTAGATCCAAGTCCAACTTTTAATTTATAAATTACAACTTGCTAATTTGGATACGAGGTAAATATAGGTGTTTTTTCAATTTTGCAAAACGTGACTGAAATCAAGTGCTACATACAACTGATATAATTTTTATTACAAACTGTGATGGCTATTCCAAGTGATCTATATTCTGAAGATGGTCTTTTTGTGTACTTTTCAGCAACAAAGTTATTATATTAACAGCCAAACTGAACCGCTGTCTTCACTTCCAGGAAAAATCTAAAATAAAACATCTGTAAAACTAGGCGAAAACACGTATGTTCGGACAATGTGTCCCCAAATAACCTGCTGAAGAATGAAAAATATCCAACGCTGAAATAAAAACTTTCAGGTTTTTTGCCCCCAAGTTCAGCTGCTGCAGACATCGAGGTTTACATTCCTCTGCTGTATTGTGTGACTTCCTTTGATAAGGATAACCAGCACTGCTCCCAGGAGGACATGCCTAATGTCTCAGCAGATCACGACAGGCTCGCCGGGCCAAAGAAAACCACCAGATCTCTGATATTATCCCAGGGAGATCATGAACAGGAAAAATTACGGGAGTCGATCAAGGATCAGGAATTCAGGTGATGCTTAGAGAATCAACCTGATTCATTTTAGGAGCCTGATTTAGAAACCTGCTGGTGTAGCAATGCAGTAATGTGCTTTTCTAAGGTCCATTCCTGCTTATATTTCAGTCACCCAGCTGCTTTCATTTACCAGGTCCTTGCCTATAAAGGCAAGGACGACGTATCGGTTCCAGCAGACGCATTTGAGTCCAGAGGTTTCGTTCAGTGACGAGCTCGGGGAGGATTTCACTTCTGTTGACCCAAACGTGTCCTTAGTGGTGAAACGTGATCTAAAACATGTTACTGAACCATTTATGAGCTAAAGCTGACAATTAACTTCACACCCTCCAGCAGAAAACCCATCCTTCTCCTTTGACCTCAGGCAAAACCTTTTCACCCATCTGACAAACAGCAAGTAGATGGACAAAGCTTATCTACCACGAAAAAGAAATGGCTATGAACCCTAGAAGTCTGTGTACATTTCACATGGTGTCAAATTTAAGAGAAACCCCCATGCACAACGTTCTGTGAATTATTTCTGCACGTTAGTAACATGTCGCTTTTTCAATTGTCTGTTTTTCTGTTTTTCAATAGTCTGTTCACCTATTGGCCTTGTCCATGCCAAGTAAGAAACTGCATAAAAGTTGATTATGCAGTTTCTTACTGCATAATCAACAAATATTTGGATTTGTCCAAATATTTGTCCAAATATTTGGACAAATATTTGGATTTGTCCAAATATTTGGACAAATCCAAATATTTGTCTATCATAGCGTCAAAAGCCTAAAGGTCACCAATATGAAAACACTCAAACTGCATGCTTTTAATTTCAGTTTTTCTACTGTAAATAATCAGCTTAAGTTCAACACTGCCCCCTGCTGTTAATTCAGTGCCACAGCCCAGATGTGCAGCTGCATCTCGTCACCTTCCTAAAATAATAACCCAAGTCATTTTTATTTTTTTTTTGTCAAAAGTGATTTAGGCTAAAAGAAAAAAAAAATCACCAACTCAT